CCCCCCACCCCCCGGAACAAAACAGGCTGTGGATGCCAAGTTCTATCAAAAGAAGCTGAATTTTATTGGACATGTAGCAATTTCCAGAGGAAAACTTAATACTCTTGCAGATCTCTGGACTGGGCAATGCATTAGAAAGCAAGGAACAGGCTTGCACTGGCCCAGTGGGAGATTTGATAAAAGTTTTCCGCCTTTTTTATTTCCAGGACTCTCAAGCAACATTTTTTCCCCATCTAAAATTCATAACTTGCTTGTCGGTGACCTCTGGCTATCCTTGAGGAGTCCACAATTTCTCATTAAATCTTTTCACGTTCCACCACTAAGCTGAGACTGGCCACAGGGAAGAGCAAAGGGATTGGGGCCCTGGACATATTTTTTAATTGTTTAGATGTTTTTAATCTTGCTTTTATTATTCTTAATGAATAACTCAAGGCAGCAAACAAACCTGATGCTCCTTCTTCCTCCTCCTATTTTCCCCACAACAAGAACCCTGTGAGGTGGGTTGGGCTGAGAGAGAGGGACTGGCCCAGAGTCACCCAACCAGCTTTCATGTCTCAGGTGGGACAAGAGTTCACCGTCTCCTGGTTTCTAGCCTGGGGCCTTCACCTCTAGGTGACCTACTTCCCCCAGAATGGTGAGAGGGAGGGAGGGAGGGAGGGAGGAATAGAGGGGGAGGGGTCACCCTCCTTGGCACTGGGCTCCTCCCCAAAAGACTGCCTGTCCATCCCATTCCAGAGAGAGGCAACCCTAATGCCTCGGAGCTGAACTGCTGACTCCAAACTCTTGGCGGGGTAAAACTCCTACCGGAGCACATTGGTCAAGGCTCACAAGTTCAGAGCTGAAGTACAGTAGATATAATTTTCGTTGCATGGAGATTACTTTTGCAAAAACAGCCGTGGCACGGAGGCTTCCTCCTAATCCATTTTCCAGGAGTAATCTTCCTGGGGAGGGGAGTTAACCTCTTCCTCACACTCTCCTCCACAGTTGCTATTAGTTTTCTTCTCCAGGAGCTGCTCACTGTGTCCATGCTGGCTGGGGAATTCTGGGAGTTGAAGTCCACACAGCTTGAAGTGGCCAAGGCTGAGAAACACTGATCTAATTAATGGATGTCCAGGCGGGCCCTCAAGAGTTCAGGCTTCCAAAAGGCTGGTTGTAGCCCAAGAAGGTGGCTTTTGTCAGTTAGCAAGAGAGGGAGCAAAGAGGGTAATGGGCGTGGGACGACTGTCTACGTGTGTGTGCTGAGCTGGGGGGCCATTTCCGAGCAGGATCTGCAATCAAAACATCAGTGAAGTGGCAAAAGTTGATAGCACCTCACGACCACCTCTTTCTCTGAGCAGGTCCTCTTGTTTGCTAAAGCTCAGGGGTCACAGTCTTTTGGGATGAATCTTTGCCCGCTTCAGGGAGACAGAACAGAGGACTTGGGTCCCACTTTTGTTGGGGGGACATTTTGGTTCCACCTCTGCACATGGTGAACATCTCTGGTTCTGGGAAGGGAATAAAGTCTCCTGTGTTTAATGCGAAGTTGCATGTAGATTACTTATCTTCAGGTTGGCACCTTTCAGATGTCTGGGAGCATTATCATTCCCATCGTCCCCGGCTGGCCACATCCCCACTGGATGTTGCAGTCCAGCCTTTCTGGAAGGCACCTGATGGGAGAAAGCTGGTGGGACTTTGAAAGGTGAATGAAACCCTTCTCATTTTATTTGTTTGTTTATCTACCTATCACATTTGGATGTAAGGGCATCCAATTCCATAGTGAGCTTTTATAACATTGTAGTTTAGGGCCTCAAGTACGTTTTGGAAACATCCTGCCAACTATTAACAAAGCCCTTGTCTGTTATGCCAGCCCTTTGCAAGGCAGCTCAATCCTGCTGTCTCTGGTGTGTTTAGGGACGAAACTAGTCCTTGCCTGCCAAATTCTGCCAGATGTGAAATTGCAGAAAGGGGCCTGTGGGTCTCCTTTTGTTTCGTTCTTGACTTTTTTGTGTTAAAAGGTGAAAACCAAAATCCCTCTTCTTCTGCCTACAAATCCTTTTGAGCGTCTTCACGTGAAAACCATGGCACTGGGATTGTAACTCTGGTGGAAGACCAACCGTAATCCAGCGGGCGGGGGCAAAGCCACAAGGGAGCGGTCAGAAAAGCCGCCCGGATCCCCCAGGGAAGGCCTTCCACAGGTTGCCTCTTGAGGTTCTGACCTTTGGGAAGGGCCCTTCAAAAACCAGACATCTTTAGGGTCCCCAAATTTTCACCGTTTGTTTTTTGGAGACGCGCGCTTTCCATGAACGAGCTACCAGCTGAACAGGCTTCTGTTTGCTCCTGCAATGTTTGTGTTGGAGGAGAAGCAGCCAAAGTCTTTGGAGAGAGTCACGGCCTGACCGCCAGGTCTGTGCCCTCACCTGGCCTCGGTGGTCTCCTCCCTGTCAAGGGCAACCCGGCCAGGCAAGTTGTGCAGATTTCTAACAGCTGTTTTCTCTTGGAGTCACGCAGTTTTGCATCTGCCGTAGAAGAGGGGATTGCAAGCGAGCTGGGCTGTCTGCGTGTGGGAACCCCCCAGCTGGAGGGCAGACCTTCCGGTAAGAATGATACTGCACCGATGCAAAGCGGCAGAGTCTTCCTAACTTCAGCTGAGCTCAAACGCCTCTTGGGTAGAGGGAGTGGCTTTGGGGGGGTTGGGGGTGGCTTTGCACTCGTGGGCATTTGTCTTGTCATTCTTCTTCACACCTGTGATATTTTGTGCCATGTATATGGCTGGCTGGGGAATTCTGGGAGTTGAAGTCCACCCATCTTCAAGTGGCCAAGGCTGAGAAGCCCTGTCCTAAATACATGGCACAGAATAAACACAGGTGTGAAGAAGAATGACAAGACAAATGCCCACGAGTGCAAAGCCACCCCCAACCCCCCAAAAGGTAACTGCGACTGCAACTGCTCCCTCCCTCCTGCTTGGCTCTTCCTGCTGAAGCTGCCAGGATGGCAGTCTGTGGTTTGTTTGCTTTATAATCTTCTCAAGCCAGGATCTGGAGACAAGACAAGCTCTGGTTTATGGCTCATTTGGAGAAGAAGGCGCCTCAGGCGAAACTCCCCTGTGCAGGGCATTTCTCTCTGCTCCTGTTTAACGTCTACCTGGGTCACTGCATGAGGTCACCAACTGGCTCGGGGTGAGGTTTACATCTCCACCGCAGGCTGGCCAAGCGATGCTGTGGAGGTTCTGCCTCAGTGTCCGGAGACTGTGCGGGTCTGCATGGGGAAGAGCAGCCTTCAGCTCAACCTCGGCAAGGCTGAGC